TTAATTTTTAATTTGTCTATAGTTGAGGTGAGGAACTGGGTGGGTGTTCAATAACAATTTGTCATTCTTTACCTAAAAGGCCTTTTTATTGAACCAAGGGGCCTGGAGTGGGATGAAGTTAGAGAGGGGAGAGATCTTTCAAGAAATTTGGCCTTTTGACACAAACCAAGTACACAAATTATTACAGCAGAGAATAGCTAAGGTCATTTAAGTCCCTATAGACAGCCAATTATACATAAATAATCCTATATAATAAAAGCCTAATATGCTAAGTGTCTGGTCGACTGGTTTTCCGTTCAACCAATCAAAGTGTAATATGCTAAGGCCGCTCTACCACTCGCTATGACATGCACTGACTAGTGCACCCTGCCACTAGTAGGTTAGCTTGCTGCTGGGGTCCGGCCAATTAGGACTGAGTGAGATGGACCAGACATGACCTGGAGCCCTCCCGCAGCCCCTCCATGGCTGGCCAACCTCTTGCATCCCTCTCCAGTCCTGATCATGCACTGGTGGTGTCCCTCGGCCTGGCCTGTGCCCTCTCACAATCTGGGACCCCTCAGGGGATGTGTGAGAGCCGGTTTCAGCCCAATTCCCAAGGCCAGAATCAGGGACCCCACTGGTGCATGAATTTGTGCACTGGGCCTCTAGTCCAATATATTTTCTCGTCATGTAAAGTCAGCCTAATATCTGATTACAAATTCTACCACAGTAGGGGCACTAACAGTCTATGTTGACTTGAAATAATAAAGAAAAAGATGCTTAATGAGATAAGAATTTGACTTCATAACTGAAAGTTCAAAAAATACAATCAGAAAAATCAGAGAATTTCAATAATATAAATTCAAAATAGAGACTAAAAGCCAGGACATACACCCAGCATCAAATTTTAGAAAGAAATATATGTGGGTAATTTTTTTTTTCTGAAAATGAGTGTTAAATTAGGCAATACGAAGACTGAAAGGTAGGTAGAAGAACAGTTTTTTGTTTTTGTTTTTGTTTTTGTAATTTACATATTTGACAATCTTAGGAAAAAACTACCCAATTAAAATTGCCTGGGGAGAGATCAAGTTGGCTGGAGATACAAGGTAGTTCAGCAAAGTACTGGAGGCAATCAATGGCACGAAATTTAGCAAAGAGAACAGATATTGATAAAAAAATATTCTGTAATATCATCCAAACTCTATGATGTAATTAGAGACTGCCAACTTCCATTTAGTCTGGCATAATATCTCAGCTCTCAAAACTAAACTTTATTACAGAATTAATTTTTGGAAAAAAATAGCCATTAAGGTCATGAATACTGTATGATTAATGTACCATATGATTGTATGAACTGTATCATTGCCAGAGTAAATGTATCATGTAATTGCATGAATAAATGTAAAATTATACTATTAAATATGAGTCTCTGTCCATTGTAACTGATCTTTATGTGGACAAAAATGAGTGTATGCATGCCAATTTTCTTCAATTGGGGTCATCCCATGCTATAAATCAATGCTGCCCTCGCATATGTCTTATAAATGCAATTACCTCATTTTCCTCATCCCATGGCTAGGATTGCCAAATTTAGCAAATAAAATACAAGACACACAGTTAAATTTGAATTTCAGATAAACAGTGAATAATATTTTAGTATCAGGATGTATGTGCAATGTTATTTGTTGTTTATCTGAAATTCAAATTTAACAGCGTGTTCTGTATTTTATCTAGCAATCTCACTCGTGTCCCTTTATTTTCAGGGCATTATTACATCCCAGGGCTCTCCTACTCATCTTTCCTACACATTTCTCATCATAGCCTAAATATGAAACACCAAATTTCTCTAATAACAATGAAAACTTTTCTGAAATAGGCACATGAAATAAAAATGCTAACAGACACTTGCCCTCACTAACAAGTTGGAACTTCACATCTGCGTGTTTTCTTTCAAAATATGGCATTTGGGTTAGAAGAGGGAAGAGTGGAACACATATATCCTCAACTAGAACTCTACCTTTTAAATCAAAACCTGGGGTCATATGTTTAGTCTCTCTTTTTTCTTCCCCTTTTCTAACTTGTATTTTTAGTGTCTCTCTACCACGTATATTCTCCTAAAAATTCTACTACTTGGTTTTGAGTATTGTTTTTTCCCCCTTAATTATTTCTGTTGTAACCAAACTTTTAATTTTTTAAAATCTATTTTAAATGCAAGTCATTTTAATGCATTTAATCGTTTAAGTCATTAAATCTATTTTAATGCAAGTCATTAGCACGCATGCATGTGTGTGTACACAACACCTCTCTCTCTCTCTCTCTCTCTCTCTCTCTCTCTCTCTCTCTCTCTCTCACTTTTTGTTTTGCTCTCTAAAGGGCAGTATTGTCAGTGGACAGTTATTTTGTAATATCCCTTTGACTAAAGCAGGACTACTTTTTGTTACAAAATAAAATATTAGATTTTATTTATTTATTTATTTTTTAAACATGTATTTAAAATACAATTTATAAAATGCTTAATCTGCCGACTCAGGAGCCCGCGGTGCGGGGTGGGGTGGGCAGCTGCCCGCTAGATCAGCAGAGCAGGACTGCAGGAGGGGTGCAGCCCTCCCTCCCATGCCCTTCTGTTCAGACACCCAAGGGGCCCATGTGCACCCTTGGAATCACATGGCCAGAAAACAGGACCCCAGAGGTTTCCAGAGTCTCTGCTTAGCAGGGAGGCTGGGGTAGCCCTACCGGCCCATCCCTGAGCAGAGCATCCCCAGATGGGGCAGAGCAGGGTATGGCTGGACTGGACAGGGCAGGGCGGGGCAGTGGGCTCTGGAAGGGGCTGATGGTAGCAGATAGGGTGTTGCCTCCTGCCTGCAGGTGGGGAGCACCCTGATTGAGTGGGCTGAGAAGGGTTGGTCACCAGGCCCAGACCCCCAGCTCCTTTGGTTATAGGCTGACAACAGAGTAGTGGCTCATGGGAAGCAGTTAGCTGGAAGGTCTGAGGCCTGGCTCATGGGGTCAGGGAGGAGCTGGGGGAAAGGGACAGTACCATGAAGGCAGATAAAGGGCAGCAGCCTCAGGTTTCTGCCCCCTACACCCCCCCGGGGTTTTCTAAGCCAAAGCCCGCAGCTTACTTAAAAAAGTTTAAAAAAAAAGCACTTAAGGAAAGTTACAGACAACTACCAACTCACACACACACACACACACACACACACACACACACACACACCACCCCAAACCGTTCTCCCATCTCCCTTCCTACCTCCCCCAACACAATAGTTCACTGTTTTCGTTTTTCTTTTTAAAAAATTTGCTACCTCTCCATCTGGGAAGCCAAGGAGGTACAGGCACACAGTGGGCAGAGCCCCATCTTTGGCCAGAGGGAGGTGGGAGCACCAGTCCCTACTATATCCTCATCCACAGACACCCATCAGCCAGTCTTCCCTCTGGCTCCATTAGGGGCGGGGGGGGGGGGGGCAAGAACAGGTTGTCCCAGTGGCTGGGCAATCAGCACTTCTGGCCTTTCCATCTGGCCTACCTCTGCGCCCTTCTCCAACTGAAAGGACAGTCTCACTTTGGGCCAGAAACCACTATTACATGAGGGATGGACACTACACATTTAGAATGAGGAAACTTGGTCAGGGCAGTGGAACTATAAAGACAGCAATCAACCTTCTCCCTTGCCCACGCCTGGAGGTAATTCCCTGCCAGAATAGTCTACGGTCACAACTCAACAACCTGTAGGTTCTTACTGACTGAAGCTCTCTGTTCCAGCTCCGCTCAGAGACAGTTATCTGGCTTCACACAGTTACAAGACTGTGCTGCGGACTAGTTGCTGATTCACTGGCAGCTGGCCCTTCCTTCTAAGGGGAAAATGGAGTGGGACATGGCTTGCATTCCCACAGGCCTACATTCCCACAGGGCAAGGCCAAGAGCCAGGTGAACCGAAGGTAGAGTGAGACTCCAAAACCTAGCTTGCCACCTTGGCCACCACAAGCTGCCCTAATCACAAAAACATCACACCCGCCACTCCAAAACTCATCCACTGAGTGGGAGGCTGGCTGGCTGGCTGGCTGGCTGGGGGATAAGGCGCAGTGCAACAGACGAGACCAGAGAAAGCCTGAGAGGGCCAGACTGGACACACACAGAGCTGCTCTGGGCAGCCGCCCTCTTCGTCTCTTCCACCTCAAGGAGCCAAAGCAAATCCCTAGGCTCCAGGGACAGAGGGGAAACTGCCTTCATTCCAGGCCCTTGCTCTGGAAAAAGGGTGAAGGGTAGCCTAGGACTATGGGGAACCAGTCTGTCATCACCACTCTGCAATGCACAGCTTGTCTTTCCCCATATGTATTCAGAATGGTCTGCGCCCAAGGTAGTGATTTCACAAAGGAAATGGACCAGCTATCGTTGCCGAGCTGCTGCCATCACTGGAGATGGCCCTCCACAGACACCTTCTGACCGCCCTAGGCAGGAGGCTGAGCCCCGGAGCCAGGCTCTCTCCTGGCTTTCCTTGTGCTGACAGCAAAATACTGAGCAAGCCTCGCATCATTTACTTCTGAGCTCAGGAGTGCAGTCTCGCTCCCTGCTCTCTTCTAGAAGTAGCAAGCCTGGCTGGTAGGGAACCACCCTGAAGGGATTGGGAAGGGAAAGTCTCTTCACTTTCCCTGTCTCCCAAAATACTAGAGGTGGGGTTGGCACCCTCCCCAGGCTCTCTGAGCCTATAGAACGAGCCCAGTCTCCAGGTAGGGCCATGATGCCCTGGGACTTAGCTGGGGGGAGGGAGGTATAGGCATGGGGTGCTCATCTGTCCTGGCGGCTACAGAGCCCTGCCCCTTTTCTGGGCGGCAGTAGGAATACAGAAGCTAAGCTCACCAAAAACCTATTGGTTAATGTTTCTAGTAAATTTCCCAGAAACATTTTTAAGTAGACTACCAAACTACCCTTTCTTAATTAAAAATTCATTAAACTGCTAAAACCCTTCCCATGCACTTTTTCTTGCAAATCAGTATTTGTATAAACAAACAAAAATAGGAAGAAAAAAAAAAAAAAAGAAAGGATAATTTTCAAATGGAACTTGCTTTTAAGTGACGAAGACATGCACTTGGGGGTGGGTGGATGGGAGTTCTCATTTGTTTTGAAATCCCAAATTAATGAGCATGATAAACTGTTATTGCTGGCACTGGCTTTACCCCAAGTGGCCAAGTGGCACTGTCTGACTCTCTTAAGTCCCCTAACCCCCATCCTTTCCCTTTCCATTGACTTGGGACAGCCCTTGTAGACATGCCAATCACAGTGGGAAGGGGGAAAAGGGGAAGGTCACAGTGCATGGGGTTCAAGGTCACAGTGGGAGGAGCAAAAGGGATCACAGTGCAAGTTAATCAGGTCCTTCCCTCTGCTCAAGTCCAGTTGTCTGCCACTGGCAGTGCGACCCGTGGCGGAGGACCCAGGAGGTGGTGACGGCGGCAGCATTCTTTCTTGCCCACATTTATCTGCGCTGTTTGAAGCCTTGTGACCCATCAGGACCCAAAGGCTGTCTGATCACATTATTGGGCTGCCTGCTGTCTTCGGGTTGGGAGATCCTGGTTGGCCTGTCGAGGATGGGTTTCTCTTGTTCCTCCTCGGGGCTGGCGCTGCCCAGGATCCGCTTCCGGGCTTCTGCGTACTCGGCCTCCCGCTGTGCTAGGGACTTGACAGGAAGGGCTGGCCTGCTGGCGGAGTTGGGGCTGCTGACCACACCGTTGCTGGTGGGCCTCTTGAGGATGCGGATCTGTGGGGGGGGGCCGGTGGGAAGGCTATCGTCCTGAATCACAATGGGCACTTTGGGAGGAGATTTGGATTTCCTGCCCGCTGTCTGCCGCCTCCTCCCAGCTCTCAGCGACCTCCTCATCTTCCATCTTCACAAAATAAAATATTAGATTTTAGAAAAAAAATTCCCCATGGACTAACGTATAGAAAGGTGTCTATTATCTATCAAGGGACTTGTTAAAAATAAAAGGTGGGTAAGATGTTATCATTTTGCCTCTTACATTGAATTTGTTCTATCAAAGGACTCTGGTTTTTAAGAATCATTGTCACTTTCTTTGTTTCTTGCTATTTCTCATACTGCTGTGCTTTTTCTGCCAGGGCCCTTTAATGTCCTTAGCAGTAAGCAATTTTAGACTGGCAAGAAAAATGACATACAAAAAAAGAAATCAATAGTATTTTTGAAAGATTATGTTGAGCTCTTACTATCTGCCATTAAAATGGGTTTTCTATGCTTTGGCATTAGTGGCTCAGTGGCTGAGTGTTAACCTATGAACCAGAAAGTCATGGTTGTATGCCCAATCAGGGCACATGCCCGGGTTGCGGGCTCAATCCCCAGTCCAGGGTGTGCAGGAAGCAGCTGATCAATGACTTTCTCATCATTGACATTTATCTCTCTCTCCCTCTCCCTTTCTCTCTAAAATCAACAAAAATTATATATATTTTTAAATAAACAAGCAAGATGTCTAAGAAAACATGCTCCATTACAAATTCAATATTATTCAAAAGTGTGAAATATATTGTTTATATTCTCCGTCAGTTATGAAATATTGTGTACCACCCAAACATTATCCTCGGTATGTCCCACATTATTACCTATTAAAGTCTTTAGTGAATCTCTCAGTCTTGGAAGTTTCCACTCCATTCTGGGAGACTTCAGTATTCTTATGTTTGACTCTGGCCTTTGAATTGCTTGACCTCCACATCCAATAATTTTCTGTTCATAATCACCGTTTTACCCAGTAAACATAACAGAATGCAAATGACAGATGTTTCAGCGCTATTTCTATCCGTTAGCATCCAAATTGTTAGTTCTCTCCACCAGCCAGCCATCCTTCTTACACCATTATCTCTATAAATCTTTATACTTCCTTTCTCTCCACTGAAAGCCTGTTTTTATACCTTCCCTGTATGCCATCTGATATTTCTGCTATATAATAAGCAGCTGCAAGTTGAATGTGAGCTGTTGAAAAGATGTACGCTGCTCTAAAGGAGGCAGCCTATATCCATTCATGTGAAGTACCAAGTTCATATTTTGTTTTTTTTTAGAAAGGACTTAAGCTAGTTTTTCTCACCTATAGTGGTTCCAAATAAATTTGAAATTAGAGATTGTAACAAGATTATGTCAACAGATAATATCTTACTTATTATACTCATTCAGCTAATTCAAGATCTTATTGAAGTTAAGGTATTTTGTTACATGCTTATTTTTTAAAGCTTTTACAAAATAGCCAATTCTTTATTAATGGCTTAGAACCACAACCTTCTAAGACAGCTGTTCTCAACCTGTGGGTCGCGACGTCTTTGGGGGTCAAACAACCCTTTCACAGGAGTCGCCTAAGACCATCAGAAAACACATATATAACTACATATTGTTTTTGTGATTAATCACTTTGCTTTAATTATGTTCAATTTGTAACAATGAAATTGGGGGTCACCACAACATGAGGAACTGTATTAAAGGGTCGCGGCATTAGTAAGGTTGAGAACCACTGTTCTAAGAGCTATCTCCTGAAAGAAATAGGTTGACTGAGAAATCACTGAGTCCAAACATTTAAAAAAAAAAATAGCTTAGCATCTCTTTGCTAATATTCCCTAGCCCTGGGAAATAATCTTTAGAATAAAATTAATTCCCTAGTGCCTCCTTCTGTAGTCAAGTGCAAACATAAAGAATACTGTGATAATTTTGACTGGGGAGCCCAAATGAAAATCAATTTAAGAAAATAAAGTTAGAGAAACATGTTATTCAATTTTATCTATGTAATCACACGTTCTTGCCTGTTTACTCTTCAAGCAGTTGTTGGCATATAAATAAGAAATGAGCTCATTCATGAAGTTCCACAGCTGCTGGAGTTATGGCACCCTATGTGCTTGATTTCATAACACTTTTTTTTTTCCAAAAAAGTGCAGAATATTGCACAGTTTACTGTCAAGATTATATATTTTCCATGAGCCAGGGAAGGCATTATAAAACCTTTGGAGAACTAAGGAAAATGTAGTGTTCACTTAAAGCACAGAGTTGCACATTATCTTTTCTAATTTATTTTTCTTTGTAAAGCTGGTTTGGGTAAATTTTAAAATAACCCTTAAGACATATGAATGAACCTTGATAGTCACATATATGTGATCAAGAAATATAGTTTAAAAAATGATTCACTCTTACAAATCAGAAACATTTCTAATATTTTACTTCATTTTATCATGTGTATAAATTACACTAATCCATTATTATATTTTCTAAGTTTTAGTCTAGCAATGTTTAGTACAATGATTGGTACTAGGAAGTTGTTAAGGTAGATAATGATAATATATTAATACATTCATTTACCAAGTACTTTCTATGTATTGGACAAAAATAGATAGGTTTGCTCCCACCTGAAACTTACAGAATAGCAGGAAAGAAAGAGACAAAGTAAAATTATTTAAATTCAACTCGGATAAAGGCAGAATAATTAAAATATGGTTTAAAAGTTTAAAATAATAATTACAATAAAAATGAAATAGAGGTTGAAGTGTGGGCAGGGGTGGGATATGTCTGGCCTGCGGGCCATACCAGGCCCATGAAATCATTTGTTCTGGCCCTGCCAAGGCATTAGGGGTGAGTTAATTAAAAGTTTGATCAAATATAGCAGACTAATTTTTAAGTTGATAATTTTGCATGGTCTGTGAATGATGGAATAAATATCCAAATGACCCTTGGCAGAAAAAAAGTTCTCTACCCCTGTGTTACAGGATGTACATGCTTTCTGGGTTTAAAGTCAATAAAGATGTTGAGATGGGCAATTCCATGTTTATGGCGATGCATTTATAATCAAGTTTTATTTTGATTTTAACTTTTGGAGAATTCAGCACTGAGCATAGAAGGGAGTGGGGAATAGGAAAGCTTTCATTGTTTAAAACCTATGTGTCCTTTCTAGCAAGCATTCAGGATAAATCAATAAATAATTATAAAATACCTACAGTATATAAGCACAATATTAAAATACATGTGCAAATAAAAACTCCAATGCATATATTATGTTTGAGATAGTAATAACAGAAGCCATGGCTTGAGTGACAGGAAGTGAATAGAATATGTTTGCATACATGCAAAAACTAAGAGGTTCATTTTATAAACTGTAAAAGCTCATACTTGGTGTTTACAGAAGTTTGACTATGGTTTAATAAGTTTATTCCATTGCGTTTTCTCATGTGTCCAGATACAAAATCAGCATAATTACTGGTATCATAACACTGGCATCATAAATAATCCATGTTTTCTTTATTGAATGGTTCTAAGCTTGCCAACCACTGTGATACTCATTATCTCCTTATTTCTTTCCCTTTGTCTCTCATTAGCTAAATTTTGGATTACCAGTTAATTAGTTTCTGGATTTTGGCATGTGGTATGAGAAAATTCTTCAGGTTAGCATCACTTGGTCTACTTATCACTAAGATTTAGCAGTTTCTAACATCTTATATAATAAAAGCCTAATATGTTAAGTGTCTGGTCAACTGGTCGGCCGTTCAACCAATAAAAGTGTAATACGCTAATGATATTCTAAGGCCACTCAAACGCTCGCTGTGATGTGCACTGACCACCAGGGAGCAGACACTCCAACTGGTAGGTTAGCTTGCTGCGGGGGTCCAGCTGATCAGGACTGAACTAGATGGGCCAGACATGCCCTGGAGCCCTCCCGTGGTCCCTCCTCAGATGAACAACCTCCTGCGTCCCTCCCCAGCCCCAATGGTGCACCAGTAGGGTCCCTTGACCTGGCCTGCACTCTGTCACAATCCAGGACCATCAGGGGATATCAGAGAGCCGGTTTTGGCCCAATCCCGCAGGCCAGATGGAGGGACCCCACTGGTGCATGAATTCATGCACCGGGCCTCTAGTTTCTTCCATAATAGTCAGTTTGATAATACCCTAACGTCTTACATTTTTTATGTCCAATGCTACTAGACATGTTCTTAATGTGAAGAAAAATGATAGTTCTGGAAAATAGAACTAAGATTTTTCTTACCATATAAAATGCTAAAAGTATCCTTCTGAGTACCTTGAAAATTAATTCCATCATAAATGGACCTTGATTTAGACTACATTTTTGTTCCAGTACAAATCAAGATTTTATAAGATATATTCTACTTGAGATGTTCTAAAGGAGATAGTACAGTCTTTAAAGGATTTAACTGAAAATTCTTAAATGATTCTTTGTATAAAGTGAATAAACAAACTTAGATACTTAGCTTGAGATATATATGCTTTTAAAGGACAGCATTATTTTTTAAAAATACATTTTTTATTGATTTCAGAGAGAAAGGGAGAGGGAGAGAGTGATAGAAATATCAATAATGAGAGACCATTGATCGGCTGCCTCCTGCATGCCCCACACTGGGGATAGAGCCTGCAACTCAGGCATGTGCCTTTGACTGGAAATCGAACCTAGACCTCCTGGCTCACAGGTTGATGCTCAACCACTGAGCCTGGCAGGGCAGGACAGCATTATTTTAGTATGGTTTTTCAGAGTGCAGTACTTAACAGAGTGCCTCACACATAGTTACTATGTAATAAAATAGTAGCCTTCACTGTACTTCATCCCCCTCCTCCAATCACATCCAAAGTTCAAGACATTTTTAATTACTTCAGGTTCCTGGGGAATACTGTGTCCCCTTTAACCTTCTTTTTGCCAAGAATTTTCCTCAATCTTTCTGCTTCATATTTTCTTATTCAGTCTTCTAGGATCAACTCAGGTAGAAAGTTTCCATCTTGACTTGCTTCTCTTCCACCCAACAATACAGCATTAATATATACTTACACCCAGAGTAGCACTTTTCATGCTGTATTATAATTACATCTGTTCTTTTTCTAAAAAATATAATGACTTGCTGTTTT